AAGAACAAAAGCTATGTAGAAAAAGGAGAAAAACCTAGATGTATGTATATATATATGCATGTGCATGTCTGTGAAGTGTGACCAAAGTGTAAGTTGGAGTAGCAAGATATCCCTGTTATCTAGCGTGTTTATGAGACAGAAAAAGACACCAGCAATCCCACTATCATGCAAAACAGTTACAGGTTTCTGTTTCACAGTCATCTGGCAGGACGGTAGTACTTCCCTGGGTGGTTGCTGTCTACCAACCTACTACCTCAGACTTATCCCCCTATAATTTTTGCACTCTCTTTTGTCCCCTTTGCCTTTATACAAAGGAACTATGCATGCTCTCTGCCAATCCCTAGGTACCTTACCCTCTTCCATACATTTATTAAATAATTGCACCAACCACTCCAAAACTATATCCCCACCTGCTTTTAACATTTCTATCTTTATCCCATCAATCCCGGCTGCCTTACCCCCTTTCATTTTACCTACTGCCTCACGAACTTCCCCCACACTCACAACTGGCTCTTTTGACGTATATATACTCATAAATTCTAGTGGCTTCAAATCAAGCAGGAGAAAGCTGGTAGGCCCACACGTGAGAGAATGGGTCTGTGTGGTCAGTGTGCACCATATAAAAAAAATCCTGGAGCATGCAGTGCATAATGAGAAAAAAAACACTCCGACTGTTTTTCCTGTCCGAGACTTGTTCTCAGGGTCGGCCAAATTAAAAAAAAAAAAAAAAAAATTCTCATGAAAAGATAGAGAATCTTTTCCCGATCATAATGACACCAAAAGTATGAAATTTGATGGAAAACTTACGGAATTATGCTCTCGCAAAGCTAGCGGTCTCGACAATGTTTACGCATCGGTGATTTTGCCCACTTTGAGCCCTATTATCGGCCAATTCCAGTGTACTAGTCGACAAAAATCATAACTATTTCTCTAGAACTCCATTTTTTTCTATTGAATGAGTACAAGAAACCACCCATTTACTGATTTCAACTATCCAATACAGTGGTCAGATTTTAGCAATGTTGCCAATCTCACACAAATTTCAAAAGATGCCAATTTCCAAATAAGGTCCAGAATAAACAAGACATTCCTGGCACTAAAATAATATTTCCTCTGTTCGTTAGTCACATCCCCAGGCCCCTCTTATATTTCTTTGGCTTTCTACTTTCAATTTTTATTCTTACAAAAAATAGAAGATTTACTGTTATGCAGACTGCTGCATTAGTGTAGAAATGGTATAAATAATATCAGCGCACTTGCAAAAGAATATTAGACTCACCCGTTGACGTGTATTGGACGCTTAGCATGATTTGTGTACTTTTGAACTTTGGTAAAAGTCAAACATTTCTGCTAATTTGAGCTCAATTTCAAGGTACTTTTCATTGTAAAACCAGTCAAAATCATCTCAATTTCCGTAATATGTCTTCCATTCTATACAATGAGACCAAGAAAACTAGAATACAACAATAAATACCATACGAAAATAGAGTGCAAAGTCGCTGTTTTATTCCAAAAACATGGTCAAAGTTTTTTTTTCTCATTATGCACTGTGTGCTGCAGGATTTCTTTTATACTGCGCACACTGACCACATAGACCCATTCTTTCATATGTATGCCTACCAGCTTTCTCCCACTAGATTTGAGGGCGCTAGAATTTAGGCGTACTAATACGCCTCAAAGGATTAAAATGCCGAATTTGTGGTCTATTTTTGTATAGTATTTATGGTTGTATTATCGTTTTGTTAGCCTCATTTGATAGAATGGAAAACATATCATAGAAATAGAGGTGATTTTGATTGATTTTACAATAAAAAGGACCTGGAAATGGAGCTCAAAATAGGGGAATTGTTTGATTTTTGCCGATGTTCAAAAGTAAACAAATGATGTCACTGTCCAATAAATGTCCAACTAGCCATTCTAATATGCAGTCATGAATAGGTTGATGTTATTTATACAATTATTACAGTACTGCAGTAGTCTGCATAACAGTAAATCTTCTATTTTTTGTTTGAATAAAAATTCAAAATAGAAAGCAAGAGTAATATCAGAGGGGCCTGGAGATGTGACTGATGAACAAAGAAAATGTTATTTTAGAGCTAGGAATGTCTGCATTGTTCATTCTGGACCTTATTTTGAAACTGTCATATTTTTTAATTTTCGTGAAATTGGCCAAATTGCAAATTTCTGACCACATTATTGGGTAGTTGAAATGGGTAAATGGGCAGTTTCTTGTACTCAATCGATAGAAAAAAATGGAGTTCTAAAGAAATAGCTATGAGTTTGGTCAACTGGAACAATGGAATTAGCCGAAAATAGGGCTCAAAGTGGGCGAAATCGCCGATTTGTAAATATCGCCGAGGTCACTAACTTCACGAGAGCGTAATTCCGTCAGTTTTCCATCAAATTTTTTTTTTTTTTTTGGTGTCATTACAAATGGGAAAAGATTCTCTTTCATTTTATAAGAAAATATATATTTTTTTTTTTTTTGAAAATTTGCGACACCAGGAGACACCTCTCTCAGCAGTAGTACCAGTTCCTAGTAACCAGTTACCAGTAACCAGTGTACCAGTAGATGACTCACTACCAACCATCTGCGTGAATCATTGACTGTTCATATTGCTGCTGACCATAGCAGGGTTTCAAACACCCCTCACCCTGTAGGCACTTGTGGGTCAGTCGAAGATAGGGAGCAGAGAGAGGCAGGTTGGCTGTTGGTGCTTTCCCATACTTCTCGTTATATATTATACGTATAAACCAGCCTACGTGAGTATTTTTACCCCATCCACATTATCGAAACCCACTTGACAAATTGGTGGCACCGGTGTGGGCGTGGATTTGCGGGTATTTCAGACGTTAGAAGACTGTTTGTGGGGAGCCGGCAGGTCAGAGGTGAACCGTGCCACCTCCAGCTAGCCGCTTACCCTCACTCTCCTCCACCCCTGTGTCACTCCAGCCTGCAAGCCTGTTGCAGCCGTTTTTTTCAAGCTTCCTGGCTTAGTTCGTGTGCTAATTGCTTCAATCTCCGAGGGGTTGACTCGGATTTTGCAATTAAGCCAGTCAATAAGCCAGACTGTGGAAGTTAACACTAGTCAGCCTGCCTCTGCCTACCATCCAGCCTGTCTCCTGTCATCCACCTGCTCCTTCATGCTGTGTGCATCATTACATGTCTTCCAGTCAGCCATTCTCGTGGGTTAAGCCAGTCAACCCAGCTTCTAACCCAGCTGAGAGAGAGAAGTAAGCCACGCAAGTTCCTCTGAAGTATTGTTTCATATATCGCTTTGTGCTCCCAGTTGGATGCCAGATGGATGCTAGAGTGGTCTTCACCATCCCTGTGGCATAGAGTGGCTTAGTTAAGCCACCTTCGTGGGTAGTGAGTGGAGTGCGCGCCAGTGAGCGCCAGCGAGAGCCACGCTCCCACCACCACCACCACCACCTGCCACCCACTCTTCACTCATCTACCTGTGGCTTTTTTCCACCCTTGTACCAGGTCCTAGTACTGTTTTGGCTCACATAATTGGTCAAGAGATTGTAGCTGAGCGCCAACGATAAAGCCAGTTATGTGAGTTCACCTAGAAAGCGCATTTCTTCAACAACAGTGTGAGTGTAGGAGGCGTCATCACCCGCACAGGACGTCTTACCCTCATCACTAGTCACTCCATCTACTACTCCAGACTTCAGTGATAATTTTCTGTTTAGAGACATTTTTCTTGCATTTAAAGACATTTGCGTGTGTGAGACATTTATAGTGAATTTCTTGTGTACTCTAAGCCTTGTGTTTTCAGTGTAGACTCAGTGTTTCTTTGACTCATTATTTTTGCAATATTTTTCAGTGTTATCGCTCATCTCATATTTTTTTATCTGTGTTTTTATGCTACTCTCTGTCTGTAGTATTATTGTGTAGTGTACCAGTCAGTCACTCTGTGTGAAGTAATTCAATTTTTTTTTATTTATCTTGTGTTCTTTCAGCATTGTATTCTCCAGTATTTGTCGTATACCAAATTATCCATTTATTTCTATGTGTATCTTTTTTTCGTATGCCAGCAGTGTCTCATTCCCTGATTTTTTCGCAGACTTGTGTACCATTATTTTTGCCAGCAATTTTTGTTGTATCAGTCACAGCAAGATTTTGTTGTAAGAATATACTAAAAAAAATGAATAAGTGAATATGTTGTGTGTGCCTCGCCACTTGTAAGTGTTGTGTGCCCCGCCACTTGTAAGTGTTACACTTCCAGTTTTGTTTCTTGTTTTACTTTTATTCATATTTTTCTTATTACTTTGAACAAATTCACTCTTAGTGTAATTTCAATTTCTTTTTAACGTAAAGTGTTTTCTTTACTCTGTTTGAGTAAATTGTTTTGTCTAATTTACAATTAAGAGTTAAAGTGTTCAATCAGTTTTTCTTCATATTTTTATTTTATTATTTAACCTACATTTTCCCAGTGTAACTTTTATTACTGCATTGATTATTTCTACACCTTGTTGCACTTGTTCTGCAGTGAATTATTTTGTTGCACTTGTTCTGCAGTGAATTACTTTCTTTTATTGATATTTTTATGCATTGTACGGTGTAGATAAACGTTTGCCTTATGAGTTGTTATATTCTAATCCGAAACCAAATTACAACCCTGATGATTTCATAGCAACTCGTACCATCTTAGCTCAAAGTGTTTTTAGAAGAATCCGTGAAACACTTCATAAATCAACAGCAGAATTTACAAGAGTCGCAAACACTCGAGCAAAGCCATCCAAAATCAAAGTAGGTTCGAGAGTTATGCTGACTAACTTTAACAAAACGTCTGCAATGCCTAAGCTTGATCAAAAGTTTGTTGGTCCTTATCGAGTAGTTGAACATATCACTGGTAATAAGTATAAGGTTAGAGAAATTAGTACTGGTCAGTATAAAGAATCGCATTTAGATCATATGAAGTTAGTATGTGATGATAATGATTGTTCCAACCCAGACTAATGTGACAGACTCTGACAATTCCTCCTGATCCTGTACTCTCTACCTCTGATACTCAGTCAGACGATCAACCTGAATGTCGTTATTCCCTACGTACACGACAGGTATTGAGAAATCCTCAAGTATTATTTGTAACTACCAATTCAGATTTGCCTCAAATACAGCATGAGTTAGCCAGTGTAACAGAGTTTGATCCTCCCAGAGATGACACCCATTCTGCATATATCAATTTCACCCTAGCAGAGTTGGGGTTAAATGTAAATAACCTGTATAGATGAATAATTACAGTATCACTTATCAGTATTCAAGAATTTTTTTTTTGTGTTCATGTTCTCTCCAAATTCTGAGAGTTAACAGTCTAGATTTGAGTGCGCCGAATCTGCCTTTCTGTTAAACACTTCTTTCTTTGTATATATTCCTTCCTCAGAATCCGTAGATCACATGAATACAGATCGATCGATCAAATTTTTTTTTATCACTTCTATTGTGTAATCCCAATGTTGAGTTTCATTCAATGAGTTGTGCTATATCATACCTTGTAATGCGTTACAGTTTTATTACAGTTTCAATTACGTAAGCTTCCATTCCAATATTCTACTTATGTATGTTGTGTACTTTGACATTGTATAGAATCAGCCCAAGCCGTACACCTGCCGTCTCTAGTTTGTAGTAGCTGTATGTTGGGACGACATACGTTAGTGTCGCCGAGCTCTCAGCAGTAGTACCAGTTCCTAGTAACCAGTTACCAGTAACCAGTGTACCAGTAGATGACTCACTACCAACCATCTGCGTGAATCATTGACTGTTCATATTGCTGCTGACCATAGAAGGATTTCAAACACCCCTCACCCTGTAGGCACTTGTGGGTCAGTCGAAGAAAGGGAGCAGAGAGAGGCAGGTCGGCTGTTGGTGCTTTCCTATACTTCCCGTTATATATTATACGTACAAACCAGCCTATGTGAGTATTTTTACCCCATCCACGTTATCGAAACCCACTTGACACCTCAGGATTGGGGGTTGCGACAGTCAAGGGGTTAAGGGTGAAAAAATTTATTTTTTGTTAATATTTTTGGGTGTCTGGAACGGATTAATTGTATTTACATTATTTCTTATGGGAAATGTTGCTTTGGTTTTTGTCTGTTTCAGATTTAGACTGACCTTCTCGAATGGATTAAGGACGAAATCTGGGGTTCCACTGTGTTGCGTATGGGTGGGGTGGCCATACCTACCACACCTGACCTCTTACAATAAATACTACTCACCTCTCACCCTACATTAAGACTGCAAATATTTTGAGGTAAGTAATGAGTGTACTGTGAGTGTATTTTACGTTTTATTGTTTATTAGTGCCTAGTTTGATTGCTAAATTAATATATGCTAGTGTAATCTTGTTATCTGGCATTTATATGCATTTATAAGTGGAAAAAATGGTGTTCTGCTTTCTGGTAGTAGCTTGGAACCTAACCTAACCTGGGGCCCTACTGTATATATAATATATGCAATAACTTTAAAACACTTGAAATTTTGGAAAGTTTCAAGACATAATTGAGAGACGCAGAGCTCACAGAGGCTGTAGACAAACATGGTGTGTGGATGTTGTAATAGCGAATCAGGGAGGGAGCTGTATAACAAATTTTGGCCATAATTTGAAATGCCTGTATTGGCAAATGTCATAAAGTGGAGCCCTACTGTAAATGATATGTATACAATGAACTTCTGAAAAACAACAAAAATTCACTAGGCTACCTGATTTGTAACTGAAGAAAGAAGTCCATTGGTTACACAACTGCCATTACAGCCACCAGTCCTTACCCCCCAAATTAGTCTGTTACATAGAGGCTTTACTGTACTCTTGTACATTAATACTAACTCTCTTCTCACATACACATTCCACCAATCCTTCCATAAATACCCTGTCTTCAATCATCCCACAAAACACATCTCAACCATTTTACTCACGTACACTGCTTAATCTTTTCATTGAAAAAAATGTGCACATAAGAAATTACACATTTTCATCTAGTGAAAAGTGTAATCACTTACCTCTCTATCATATACAAGATCAATAACGAGCCCAGCTGGGATCAGTGAGAAAGTATAACCAATCATCATTGGAGCCATAAATGTCGAGACGTCAAAACTGACACTCTCCAAGATGCTTGGAAGAAGGTGAGTTGAAACATTAATCACATCTGTTTCTTCAAGGGATCTGAAAATGTAATTACAATAACAATAAAAAAGTAAATACAGTGGAACCTCAAATATCGAACTTTCTTTGGTCCAGAAGGCTGTTCGAATGCCTTTACCGAATGAATTTATTCCCATCAGGAATAATGTAAATTATGTTAGTCCATTTCAGACCCTCAAAAATACACTTATAAAACCACTTACAAAAATACACTTACATAATTGGTTGTGTTGGGAGCAGTTCGATTTTTGAGGTTCCACTGTACTGTAAACACATAAATATACAACAAACAAACACTGCACGTGTATGTTATGTTATTCTCTCTCTCACACCCACACACACACATCAGCAAAGAAGCAGGGCCAAGAACTGTGACTCAACCCCTGCAACCAAATATAGGTGAGCACATACAGGTGAGTATAAACACACACACAACAAGAGTCATTTCAGGTGTTTTACACTACATATGTTATTTTCATCTTGGAGTATGCAGTACCAATATGGAACTCAAACCATAGGAAGAATGATAAGAAACTGGAGAAAGTGTGGAAATATGCAGTGAGACTAGTTCCAGAGTTAAGGGGTTAAATTCTCAGTTTACAGGAAGCCCTGCTCACACTGCCAACTATGTGCATTCAATGCAGATTAAAAAGTGCACCATCTCAAGCCTGTTTTTACATGCACTCAGGATATGGAGCCCCTCAAATTTGGACCAAGAAAAAAGAAATCCTCACAACAGAATTCTTCAAATTAGGATACCCTAACTGGTTTATATAACAAGAAAAGAAAGCAAATATCAACTACTACAAAACCTCAGTTCACAAAAACTTAATTCCATGCAGCAAATATCAACTCATGGTACTCTACCACCAAGGTACAATCAATCATGTCAACAAAGTGATCAACATAATCACTTTCTATCTTAACAAACTGGGGAATCTCTTTTCCAAAAAACACAAGCATTCAGTTATGCAAGACACACCAGGAGTCTATCAGATACCATGAAAAGATTGCAACCAAGTATAGCCAAAATGCTACCTATGAGGATCATTGAACACCAGAGGGCAATACAGTATGCACAGGAAAATTCAGTCATTTTTCATCACATCAGCATTAACAATCACAATATTCATTGGGAAGCTGCCGCTGTCAAACAAATCAAACTGCAGCTACAAATGGAAAATCATAGAATCTGCTCTCAGAGCTACCACCTCCCTTTCAACATCTCACAGGAACAATGGAAACCAGATGTCATTTCAAAATTCGCCCTCAAAAAGTATATATCAGCACCTAACCTAATATAAAATGTCAGCCCAAGATCAGGAATTACATAGCACAAAGGAACTTCCTACCTAAATTTTAAGTTCATTTAAGCACATATTTTTAGATCAACAAGCAACAACATCTACAATATAAGGTGACAAACCTTATTAATGTTAATGAATTAAGAAATAAAAACTTCTTTGGCTTTTTCAAGGTAGAAAGATCATAACCCAATTTTCCCCTTAAGGTCTTCACTTCACATGCTGCAGTTTCACATATAATTCTGATTTTAGAAAAGTAACCGGTGTAAAACATGGTAGTCTACTAGACCTAGATGAAATGTGTCTTTCTCACCATCTTATTTACATATACATAAGTGCATACATACTGCAATATAAAAGGAATTTGTGCACAAATCTGTCTGTTAAGAATAATATGCACAAATGACATTAAGTTATATTTTTTGAATTATAGACACTGGATGTCTTCCTTCACTTGTGATAAACACATTTTAAATTAGTTTTGATATTGAAATTGAAAAATTTTGATCTTAATAAAAGAATAAGGAATTCTGAATATAACCAGTATTTCTTAATCAAATTTAACTTTCAGAATGTGAGAATTAAAAAAAAAGTTATTAATGTAAGCTACATGACACCTTGAATTACTATACTAATATAACTGTGCAATAAAATTTTCCAATAAAAATATTGAATATGGTACAAATATCTCGAGATATTAGTGCTATGTGAAGAAAACAAACACAAAAACAAAATGTGCATTAAAATGGTATAAAATATCACAGGTTGTTAGGTAAGACACATATGCAACAGAAAGGTATCTTTATTTCGAAACGTTTCGCCTACACAGTAGGCTTCTTCAGTCGAGTACAGAAAGTTGATAGAAGCAGAAGAGACTTGAAGACAATGTAATCAGTCCATCACCCTTAAAGTTTTAAGGTGGTCAGTCCCTCAGTCTGGAACTACGGAACAATGCTCTTCTCCAGACTGAGGGACTGACCACCTCAAAACTTTAAGGGTGATGGACTGATTACATCGTCTTCAAGTCTCTTCTGCTTCTATCAACTTTTCTGTACTCGACTGAAGAAGCCTACTGTGTAGGCGAAATGTTTCGAAATAAAGATACCTAACTGTTGCATATGTGTCTTACCTAACAACAAAAACAAAATGTGATGAAAACTAACCTCAGTATAGCATTACTAATAAGGTTAACGAGAATTGGAATGGAGTGTAAGTATGTGTCATTAAACAGAAGAGTCAGGTTTGCTGGAACACCATTCCTGAAAAATACAGACAATGAAGAAGACAAGCCACAATACTGTGGTTGGAATAATTTGCTATTAACCTGCAATGTGGTGAGGAAATTTGGAGGACATTTCAGTCAATCCTGGGCTGTTACTAAGTTATGACAATATAAACAATAAGATGGAAATAACTGATGCCCTTTAAACAGTGAACTACATAGAAATGTAGTAAAAATACTATAGAAAAAAATTCTGCACAGATTACTTACGTGGCCCGTGGAAAACTTGCAACATTGAGAGCAGCCATGTGCATCCCAAGCTCAGGAATCTTTGTATAATTGCCTGAGTAAGCATCAACTGCCATATTTGCTGCTTCAAAGACTGATTCTATGTCTGACAGTTCATGATCTGTAGAGTTCTGCAGCAATAAACCATACAGATTTGGCTCATAGATTTCTGTAAGTAACAAAAATTACTCTATCATCTACTGGACAAAACAATTAAACCCTTTCTCTGCATAATAATTCAAATTCAAATTTTTATTTATTTGCAAAATTTACAATGTGTGATTTCTTCTTCTTTCAACAAACTGGCCATATCCCACCGAGGCAGGGTGACCCAAAAAGAAAAACAAAAGTTTCCTTTTTTAGTTTTAGTAAAGTACACAGGAGAAGGGGTTACTAGCCCTTTGCTCCTGCCATTTTAGTCACCTCTTGTGACATGCATGGCTTACAGAAGAAGAATTCTGTTCCACTTTCCCATGGAGATAAGAGGAAATAAACAAGAACAAGAACTAGTAAGAAAATAGAAGAAAACCCAGAGGGGTATGTATATATATATATGATTGTACATGCATGTGTAGTGTGATCTAAGTGTAAGTAGAAGTAGCAAGACATACCTGAAATCTTGCATCTTTATGAAACAGAAAAAAGACACCCGTAATCTTACCATCATGAAAAACAATGTGTGATTTACATGTTATAAAATATTCTTAAACACAAAGAAAGCCGCTAACATGCCTGAACATTTCGGCCAGACTAATGGCTCACTACACCCAATGAAGCTTTAACAACCTTTATGATAAGACTAAATATGGTACTAAAGGTCTAGCTACATTCCCATAGCTACAAATAGGAAATCTTCATCCCCCCTGCTGCAAGGAAGTGGGGGTTAACTTGATGATGGTGAAAGCCTCTTGATAATAGGAATTGGAGCTAACCTACCCTTTCTTGGAGTAAACCTGATTACCTCTTATTTCCCTGGCTCTGTATGAAACTTAGAGGTTTAGTGCTTCCCCATCAATATTATAACAATAATAGTACAGTAGAAAACCTTAAGTCATGTGATCATAACTCATTTTCAATATCATGCAATTAAAATTTAGGTTTCCACTTAAAAAAGTAGCATGTCCATTTTCATTAAGGCACATGGGAGCAGAATTCATTTCCATAAGTGGCACGAATTTTCATTAAAGAGTGCTGGAGTAGATTTCATTTCCACTGGAGGTACTCATTTTCATGGTAGGCAAGCCTTAGACCTCCCACAGATAGAGAATGTGCAGTGGTTTGCATAATATAAAGTTCAGTGAGGACATTACCTGTGCAATATGCTGCTTCAGAAAGATTCCCACCCCAGCTAGCTATGATTATCTGGAAAAAGAAGCACTCTAGAAGCAAACAAGAGAAAACTACACTGTACATCTGAATTCAAGACCAAAAAAGATCATTTCAGCCTGCTTCTTTGTGGTAATGTTTCAGTCTTTCAATGTAAGCCCTTACTTGTTTACTGCTCCGTGAATCTCAGTTACGAGTATTTCTCGACTTATGATGGTTCAATTTACGATATTTTGACTTTACAATGGCGCAGAAGCAATTACTTTGGAGATGAAACTTAGACAATTACCCAGCATGAAGGCGGCAAGTCTGTAACTGGTATTCATTTATTTACTTTTCAATACCAGTGTTTAGTAGTTATGGTAATTATTTGTTTATTTACTTATGCAGTGACAGTAGTTATTTATTTACTTACTTATTTAGCATACCATATTCATATTCGACACAATATTTTTGACTTACTATAGGTTTGTCGGAACATAATCCCACTGAAAGTCGAGGAGCACCTGTATTTGGAAGTCCAATGCTGCGGCATGGTTGCTGAGGCCTTCTTCACTGAATGGCTTAGACATCACTATTCCTGAAGTGAGGATGTACCTGTCTCTGAAAAATACTGCATTCAAGATTCTCCTTGTCCTTGATAATTATTGTGGTAATCCTCAACTCTTGGAGGATTTAGGGCCAGGTGTCAAGACTGGGTTTTAACCATCAAGTATGATATTCTTGATGTAACCACTGGATTGAGGAGTTATCAAAACATTTGAATGACACTACAAATGCAGTGTGGTGCATAAATTAGTGGCAGCAACTGAAGACAGTGAAGCACAGGTCAGCCATCACTAATCTGGCAATCAGTAATTCGGTTCCATCAGTAATCTGGAACTAATTTTGGCTAGCATAATTTCAAATTTGAGGGGTTGCCACACCAACCTGCCACTACTGTTTGGTGATGCTACTTGCTGCATAAGTCATTCCAATTTCTTTTTTTCCATTTACTGTTATAACCTGCTCACTTTTAGCCCTAGCCATAGTTCCAACAAATAAAAGAAATACTTCTCATTGTGTAAACCACATACACCTTACATTGTCCATAAAAGAAAAGGTGGCTTTGAAGCCAATGTCAGTCGCCATGAGCTCAGCCCTCTCAGATAAGCTGTGACTGGTAAATTTAGGCCCACATATGAGAGAATAGGTCTGTGTGGTAAGTGTGCACTGTATAAAAAAAGATACTCCAGCATGCAGTGCATAATGACAAAAAAAACTGCAACCATGTTTGCGGTGTAAAACAATGGCTTTACAGTGTATTTTCATATGGTTTTTATGGTTGTATTCTTGTTTATTTATTCTTGTTATTTTCATATAGTCGGACTTGAGTCCTGGAAATGGGAAGTACAATGCCTGCACTTTAAAGGAGTGGTTTGGGATATTGGCAGTTTGGAGGGATATGTTGTGTATCTTTATATGTGTATGCTTCTAGACTGTTGTATTCTGAGCACCTCTGCAAAAACAGTGATAATGTGCGAGTGTGGTGAAAGTGTTGAATGATGATGAAAGTATTTTCTTTTTGGGGATTTTCTTTCTTTTTTGGGTCACCCTGCCTCGGTGGGAGACGGCCGACTTGTTGAAAAAAAAAAAAAAAAAAAATTCTTGTTTTTCAGGTCTCATTTGATAAAATGGAAGATATATTACAAAAATGGACAAATGATTTTCACTGGTTTCACAACAGAAAGTACCTAGAAATTGAGCTCAAACTTGCAGAAATGTTAGCTTTTTGCTGATGTTCAAGAGTAAACAAATGACGTCACCATCCAATACATGTCCAACTGGCCAGTCTAAAATGAAGTCACGAATGGGTTGACATTATTTATACAATTATTACAATAATGCAGTAGTTTGCATAACAGTAAAGCTTCTATTGTTTGTGTGAATAAAAATTCAAAATGGAAAGCAAGAGTAATATAAGAGGGGCCTGGAGCCATGACTAATGAACAGAGACAATGTTATTTTAGTGCCAGGAATGCCTGCATTGTTTATTCTGGACCCTATTTTGAAACTGGCATCTTCTGAAATTGGTATGAAATTGCCCAAATTGCCAGTTTCTGACCACTTTATTGGATAGTTGAAGTCGGTAAATGGGTGGTTTCTTGTACTCAATCAACAGAATATAAAGAATACTAATGAAATACCTAAGAGTATGTTGACTGGACCAATGGAACTGGTTGAAAATAGGGAACAAAGTGAGCAAAATCGCTGATGCATATATACTATATGTGTATTACCGAGACCGCTAACTTTGCAAGAGAATAATTCTGCAAATTTTCCATCAAATTTTGTATTTTTAGTTTCATTACCTTTGGAAAAAGATTCTTCATTATTTCATAGGATTTTTTTTTTTTAAATTCTTTGACCCTGAGAAAAAGTTTGAAATTGGGGTCCTGACCTTGAAAGGGTTAATACAGGCATACGTCACTAATATGGTGTGAGGTTCCAGACCAACACTGTGAAGTGAATTATAGCCTTTTCTCACTTGCCAGTGCATATAAAAACCCAAAAACATGGTTACACTACAGTATATCCTCATGTTACGCGAATTTATCTGGCATGATTTCATTATTACACCACTGAAAAATTGTGGCACATTTTTATACAACACTTCGTAAAATGAACTTAACATGGTTCAGTTTGTGGGAGGGGAAAAAATTTGGAGCATCACCCATGGGATATTTCCCTAGCTCAGGGCCCCACCTGGCTGTGGGTGAGACCACTGTCCCCACAGGGCTGCACTGGGCTTCAAGACAGCAAAGGATCGCTTCACCTTGCTCCTTTGCGGTAATGCATCAGGTGATTTCAAGTGTAAGCCCATGGTTATTTACTGCTCTAAGAATCCTTGTGCTTTGAAACGTGTAGATAAAAAAAAATTACCAGTAATTTAGAGGTCAAACCAGTCAGCATGGATGACAGGAAATATTTATTGACTGGTTTAAGCATCACTTTATTCCTGAAGTCAAGTTTTACCTGCACAGCAGAACCTTGCATTCAAGGCTCTCTTTATTCTTGATAATTCCTGTACTCATCCAGAAGTTTTGCTAGGTGTGACCCTGTTATTGGGCTATAGGACCCAACATGTATTTATGTATCTGTAACAGTTACTATGGAATACCTAATTATATTGAATTGATGGGGATTCAGCTCTAAATGTCATAAGGGCAGATCACTCTTATGGCTGTAAGGCAGCTGAGTCAAGCCTGTTTTTTCTCAGTATAATAGGTTATACTATAGACACACAAACACACAATTTAAGTAAGTACAGTGGACCCCCGCATACCGTCGGCATCACATAACGTTTAATCCGCATACCGCTCGCTTTTATCGCAAAAATTTTGCCTCGCATACCGCTCAAAAACCCGCTCACCGCTGTTCGTCCGAGACGCGTCCAATGTGCGCCCTTAGCCAGCCTCACATGTGCCGCCGGTGGCATTGTTTACCAGCCAGCCTCCGCGGTAACATCCAAGCATACAATCGGAACATTTCATATTATTACAGTGTTTTTGGTGATTTTATCTGCAAAATAAGTGACCATGGGCCCCAAGAAAGCTTCTAGTGCCAACCCTACAGCAATAAGGGTGAGAATTACTATAGAGATGAAGAAAAAGATCATTGATAAGTATGAAAGTGGAGTGCGTGTCTCCGAGCTGGCCAGGTTGTATAATAAACCCCAATCAACCATCGCTACTATTGGTGGTACAGCTGCTGCTGCTGCTGTACCACCGTCAGCTGCTGCTGCTGCTGCACTGTCAGCTGCTGCTGCTGCTGTAGCACCGTCAGCTGCTGCTGCTGTTGTAC